TAAAACATTTAAATGTTAAATTTGAAGTCTAAGTGCATGAAAAATCACATCAATGTCTCCTTTTGATGATATACTTAATCAACTTATGGAATACGCCGAACAAAGGAAGAAAAAATGTTGGAATAAGTCAAATAATCATATCCAAAAATAAGTTGATCAATACCGAGATTTCTGGGTTTCTTTTTAGGGTGTTTATCTTGGGGGATTTATTTTCCTTTTATTTTATCTTTGTATCCTTATAAATAACTTCTTGATGTAATTTGTTGATTAAGAGTGAATAAAAGAAGAATTAGTAATCATCTTCTTTTACCATGGAAAACATGGAATCAAAGTCTGGTTCATGATTCTGGGAAATCAATTTGTGTTCTTCAAAATTCCGATCTTCTTTTAAAATCGAAAAAAAGATGGCCGATACAGATAAAAGTATTGTCATACCTGATGATTTAACGTTGAAGATTGCAGCATTGCTGAAAAACGGCCTTGGAACACAACCTACAACGACGAATTCTGAAAACTTATCTATTGGGATAAAACTGAGTGGAGACAACTATTCTTTATGGGCTACTCTCATGAAGAAAGCGATTAGCGGCAGGGGGAGAGGTTCTCATCTTACAGGAGAACCGTCACCTACCTCAAAAACAGATCAAGCCTATGTGCGATCGGAGCAAGATGATCAGTGTGTGTTCACATGGTTGATTCAGAACATTGAATCAAGTCTCGTTAACAATGTTTCACAATATCCCACTACTAAAGCTCTTTGGGATGGGCTAGCGGTAACATACAGGTCTGGAACCGACCTGTATACAGATATACAGATATACAGATATACAATAACAAAATTCAGGAACAGAGATTGTACCAGTTACTGATAGCCATAGATGATAAGTTGGAACCAATAAAGCGAGATATATTGAAGCGAGACCCTCTTCCTTCGGTTGAAACCGTGTATGCCACTATACGTAAGGAAATTTCAAGACTCTATATTTTGCAGACAACTTCCTCTTCTGAGCCATCTGAAATTGGGTTAGGGTTGGTTGCTCGCGAGACGGCCAGAAGAAATAAATTCTAATCAGAATCACAAAAAAGGGTGAAGGAGGATAAATCGAAACTATATTGCACCAATTGCAATATGAAGAAACACACCAAAGACACGTGTTTTAGACTGGTGGGTTATCCGGATTGGTGGGAGAAACCAGGCCAACGGGGCAAAGCATCGGCTGCCATTGGAGGATTGGATGTCGGCGATAAACTAGTGACGTCATCTGCTACATTTGGAGGTGTGGATGTCGGGAAGGAATATATCGAGGAAACAGGTAAAGGGTTTGGAAGTTACACTCCAAACCCTGCAATTATTAATCCTAAATACTTTAAACCCTATTGTTTTGATATTAAAAAAAATGTCACCACCATGAATGAAACACCTAAAGGTTATCAGGCCCGATTCACTATTCCCAATCTCAGAAAAATGATAGACTGGATTTTTGATTATAGAGCCACTCATACAATGACTTATGATCCGAATGATTTTTTAAATTTGGGATCGTCATCAAAAACTTATATTGAAACTGCTAGTGGAGAACATGTTGAGGTTAAAGGAGGAGGTGCCATTGAATTCTCGAGGAATATGAAGCTAAAAAATTGCCTTTATATTCCAACCCTATCCTTAAAACTATTGTCTATTAGTCAAGTTACAAAGGAACTAAATTGTGTGGTTCTAATGTATCCAACTTTTTGCATTTTACAGGACATTCTGACGAGGGAGATACTTGGGCATGGTACTGAGCGAGGAGGCCTTTACTATGTTGATGAGGTGACTCACCAGGGACATGCATGCTTGCTCATGAAACGGTTGGCAGACAACTTTGGTTATGGCACCGTCGTCTAGGTCATCCTTCGTTTGGTTATCTTAAGATGTTATTTCCGAGTCTTTTTTTGAATAAATCCACTTGTATAAAGTGTGAAACGTGTGTCCTTGCTAAAAACCATAGAGTGTCTTTTAATCTTAGTAACACAAGGGTTAATTCATCTTTTTCATTAGTTCATTTAGACGTTTGGGGTCGTGCCCCAAATTCCAAGAAGAATCGGTTTAAATATTTTGTATTATTTGTTGATGATTTCTCTCGTATGACTTGGGTATATTTTATGAAACATAAATCAGAAGTGCCAGAGAAATTCTTTATATTTTATAATATGATTCAAACTCAATTCAACAAAAAAATACAGATTCTTCGCTCAGACAATGGTGGAGAATTTGTAAATCAGACCATGCAAAGCTTTATCCAGGAAAATGGGCTTATTCATCAAACTTCATGTTCTAACACACCTCAACAAAATGGTGTTGTGGAATGAAGAAACCGAATTTTACTAGAAAAAACTCGTGCTATGATGATTGAATCCCAAGTTCCTCAGTCTTTTTGGCCCGAAGCCATTGCCACATCTGTATATCTCCTTATCGTCTCCCCACTCAAATTCTAGGACATAAATCTCCTTTAATGACACTAGAAAGCCAAGTTACTATCCCTTTTGTCTTAACCTTGCCACCACGTATCTTTGGTTGCTCTGTATTTATTCACATTCCAAAAGTTCATAGAGACAAATTGGGTCCATGTGCAGAAAGATGTGTCTTTGTAGGATATGGTCCACATCAGATGGGTTATCGGTGTTATAATCCATTGTCTCGTCGCATTCATGTCACCATGGATTGTGACTTCTTAGAGTCACAATTCTTCTTCGACAACCAACCTAGAATTCAAGGGGAGAGAATTAGGGAATTTCTAGATTGGTTGAGTTGTTCTGAGGCTGTTCCGACAAAGCAGGTAGATGGAGCCACCGAGTCTCTCACAACCAACTTAAGAGGGGCTGACGAACCAGTTTACACGACCAATGAATCGACCTCAGAAGATGTCCAACAAGAGGAACAAGAGGTTAGTGAATCTCCTTGTGATAGTACTTTACATACTACTAATGATGATAATTCAGTTCTAGAAACAGAGCCAGAAGAACCAGAGGTTCGTGTTTTACCTCCAAGAAAAAATAGTGGAGTCCCACCAAACCGATTCTCTCCGGAACACAAGAAACGTGAATCTAAATATCCAATTGATGGAGATAGGGGAAGAGTTGGTGAAGCCGCAAAAGCCTTATTTGTCACTCTTCTTTCAGAAAATATTCCTAGAACGGCTCAAGAAGCAAGTGAGAAACTTGAATGGCGAGAGGCTATGAGTACAAAGATGAAAGCTCTTAAGGAAAACAACACATGGGAAAAATTTGTGTTACCTGAAGGTAAGAAACCGGTTGAGTGCAGGTGGGTTTTTACCATCAAATACAAAGTCGATGGAACAATTGAACGATATAAAGCAAGACTAGTAGCGAAATGATATACACAAACCTACGCTATCGATTACTCAAAAACTTTTTCCCCTGTTGCTAAAATTGATACAATCAGGGTGTTATTGTCGATAGCTGCAAACAAAGACTGGCCATTTCTTCAGTTTGATGTTAAAAATGCGTTTCTCCATGGAGATTTAAAGGAAGAGGTGTATATGGAGGCTCCACCCGGTTCCTCAGAAGAATTCAATAAGAACGAAGTTTGCAGGCTTCAGAAAGCCTTGTATGGTTTATAACAGTCTCCACGTGTATGGTTCGGGAAGGTTACAATGGCTATGAAAAAATATGGATATAAACAAAGCAATGCTGACCATTTCTTGTTTTTCAAAAGGAGAGGAGAACTAGTCACTTGTCTGATTATATATGTTGACGACATGATCATTACGGGAAGTGATAAAAAAGAAATTACTCAGCTTCGGGAAAACCTTTTTAAACAATTTGAAATGAAAGATCTTGGAGGGCTGAAATATTTCTTAGGAATTGAAGTTCTTCGATCAAAAGAAAGAATTTTTATTTCTCAAAAGAAATATATACTCGATTTGCTTGTTGAAACTGGAATGGTAGATTGCAAGCCAGTTGGTACTCCTATAATAGTCAACCATAATCTTAAGATTAACGAAGGGGCTAAGCCAGCAAATAAAGAAAGGTACCAGAGATTGGTAGGGAAATTAATTTACTTGGCTCATACCAGACCAGACATTGCCTACACGGTTGGAGTAGTATGTCAATTTATGCATCAACCACAAAAGGAGCATATGGAAGCGGTCATGAGAATAATCAAATATCTCAAGGGTACTCCTGGAAGGGGCATTGTATTCAAAAGAAATGAACATCTAAATGTGAAGGTTTTTACGGATGCTGATTGGGCGAGTAATCCAAACGGGAGGCGGTCAACCTCGGGATTTTTTACCTTGTTAGGAGGCAATCTAGTAACCTGGAGGAGTAAAAAATAAAAGGTGGTCTCATTGTCAAGTGCAGAATCAGAATTCAGGGGAATTGTAAAAGGGGTTACAGAGATTCTATGGCTTAAAAAACTAATGAAGGAAATTGGTTCTCCTATAAGACTACCAACTTGGCTGTTCTGTGATAATAAGGCTGCCATAAGAATTTCAGAAAATCATGTTCAACATGAAAGGCAAAACATGTGGAGGTTGACCGACATTTCATAAAGGAAAAAATTGAAGATGGTACCGTGGAGCTTCCCTATGTAAAATCTGAGGACCAATTAGCTAATATCCTTACCAAAGCTGTTCCAGGGAAGTTTTTTGAATCCGTTCTATGCAAGTTGGGTATTGGAGATCCCACTAAACAACTTGAGGGGGAGTGTTGGAATAAGTCAAATAATCATATCTAAAAATAAGTTGATCAATACCGAGATTTCTGGGTTTCTTTTTAGGGTGTTTATCTTGGGGGATTTATTTTCCTTTTATTTTATCTTTGTATCCTTATAAATAACTTCTTGATGTAATCTGTTGATTAAGAGTGAATAAAAGCAGAATTATTAATCATCTTCTTTTACCATGGAAAACAAAAAACTCCATAAGAGTTTATTGATATGCGTTTACAGGAATCAAAGCATACGAAAGATCATAGCATGATCAAATTTTACATATGTTCGCAGATTGTACACATTTTCGTTTCCCAATCATGTATGAAAAGTAGAGTACTATCCATGAATGCATATAATTAAATCTCAAGGTAAACTTCATACCACTTCTGGATCCATATTGTAATAAAATTAACGTCCTGTTAATTCGGTAATTGTAGCATCAGCATTGCTCATAGACAAAGTAGTGGATGTGGAGTTCTCAACTTGTATCCTTATCTCGGTAAAATTGACATTTTGTCTACTTGGTGGGTTTTGCACCCGTGATCGATCACTTAGAAGCATCACCACTTCAGACATGGTTGGCCTGACAGAAACCGGTGACTGAGTGCACATTAGTGCTATTTCTATGACTTTCTTTATTTCTTCTTCTCTATACTCACTTGGGTCTAATGTCTCATCAACCAACTTCAGGTGCATGCGACTCTCATACAGATTCCAAGCCTGTTACCATACATTAACTCGAGTTACTAGATAAATCATTAGCTTGATAAGTTAAGTAAAGTTAAGTTAAATAGCTTCAAGCTTACGTGTTCTAGAAGGTACTGTTCTCCAGCTGATTCATTTGGGACGTCTGTGCATCTTTTTCCGCTAATAATCTCAAGAACCACTATACCAAAGCTGTAGGTGTCAACCTTCTCTGACAACTGTCCGTGAATTGCATACTCTGGTGCTGTATAGCCCCTATAAGTAATTAACAATTTGTTATTAATATTCTCCTCTTCAATTCCTTAAACTATACAAAAGAAGTATTTTTAAATATATCATATTAATTACTTACAAAGTTCCAGCAAATCTTGTGCTTATATGTGTCTGGTCCTCAGGTAGAAGCCTTGCCAATCCAAAATCTGCAATTTTGGGCTGAAAATCGTTGTCGAGTAAAATGTTGCTAGGTTTTATGTCTCTATGAATGATGGTTACATGGTATTGTTCGTGCAGATATGCTAGACCCCTAGCTGTGCCAAAAATAATATCATAACGTTGTTTCCAGCTAAGGTTCCCTTTTTTGTCACCTATATCACAAAAGGAGTGAAGAGAAGAAATTAAATAGAAGTTCACTTATTTATACTCTTTCTAATCATTAGTAAATACCAACTTAATTACCATATAGGTATTTTTCTAGACTTCCATTTGCCATGTACTCAAGAACTAGTAGTAATTCTGGTCCTTTGCTACAACATCCAAGAAGACGGATAAGATTTCGGTGATGGACATTACTAATAACCCGTACTTCACTCTCAAAATTGTCTTTTGCATTATTGGAACCTATGGCTAGTTTCTTCACTGCAACAATGTTTCCACCCTTCACGATTCCCTACATAATGTAACACACAATAATTAATGAACCAAAGAAAAAAAGTATGTTAAAATGAGTTGATCAGAAATAAAATCTTGCAAATAACGAGTAACGTGAAGTAGAAAGTTAAGTACCCTATACACATCTCCAAAGCCTCCTTCTCCGAGTTTATTATCCTCCCTAAAATCCTTTGTAGCTCTTTTGAGATCATTGTAGCTATACGCCATTGGGCCTTGCAATTCTGTTGCCCCATGTAAGTTACCTGGTAGGTTAATTGGAAATTAAATCAGTTTAAAAATGGTGATCGACTTCAATATAATTGTTTATAGTTAAATCGACAATTCATACTTCCTGGTGATGTTCTTTTCCTGGATCGACGATACCACAAAAGTATAAGTATTAGCAAGATGATCAAACCACCTACACCTCCAACCACACCTCCGATAATGGCTCCCTTGTTGCTTGAACCTCCTGTACATGGAAATATTATAAGAGAGCATGTTGATGCACTTGTTATTGAATTCCTTATTTTCAAAACTAATACAATATTTCAAGAAAATTATCATAAGGTTTTCAGAAGTTTTACCATCTCGTAAAAATGGCGTGATATCAATAATTGTATTGTTGGCGAAAAACGGAGAGGCTGAGTACCTCATAAAACACCCAGAATCAACACCTCTCCCATCAGTAACATCAGTTGCACAACTTTTTATATTAGCGTATGCAACCTGTAAGCAAGCACCACAACCATCGGATGTTACAGTAGGGGCACACTGAGCGATAGCATAAGCAGTACTTGTATTGGTGCCATTAACAGCTGCTGTGGCCGCAGCAAAGAAACCAGGTATTTTAGGTGTGGCGATAGAAAGATTGGACATTAATCCATCCACAGCGGTTTCAAAAACGCTTTGTGTTGATGAAGTACGATTACCACATAAGCCAACATTTCCAGGCAATGTTGTTTGATCATAGAAAGAATTACTCTCGTACCTTAATTAATCAAAAGAATAAATGTTATTTTCAAAGTTCTAGTCGATATTACAGGAAAATTTAAAGGGTGATCATTGATATAAATCGAAAACGTAAGGACTCAAATGTCAGAAAATGAAAACCATGATATTAAAATGACCATTTTTAATGTGATCTTGATTATGTATAGTTTTTCCATACCAACCCCACCAATCGTATATAAGTGCTAGCTATTTGTAGCCCTTCACTGAAATCTTATCTAAAAGCTTGATCAGGGGAAATTAACACCCAAAAATTTATCTATATAAGCATATAACATGGAAGTTTCAAACCATATTATCATTCTATTAAGTTCTTTTTTCTTTTTACTAGCTTAATTCTTATTGGTTTATATGTTAGACTTTCGTTTTCGCTAATAAATAAAAGCTTGTGATATCTGCTAGATAATATTGCAAAAGAAAAAAAAATTGTATAAAATAACAAATTTGGAAATTGAAGAGTGGAATAAATTTTGGAAACGACTTAAATATATCTCCGTTTCTCCATTGGAAAAATATTTTCAAAGCTAGTTAAATATATTATTTTGGGTAAAACTAGGAAAAAAAATCATATTCAACATGGATTGTTTATTCAACAAAATAATCGTAATCAATTCTTAGGAATAAAAATTGGTATTTTATTAGAGACAAAAACAGAATGTTGACTTTACTTCTATTTGATAGAAACAAACCATGGAATTGGAAGTCATTCAACGCAATACAGAGCTGTATAGTACAACCGCTCGTTGCATCATCATATATATTTCCAGATTGGCTGCTCTTGCTTCGTAGTATGTGTATTCATAATATGAAAAAGAAGTAATATAAAATGTTCACCTGAGAAAGCAGCCGTCAAGTACAGCTCGGCCACCGTTGGCACCAGCGCAGAAACGTATTGACCTATCGGCAAAATCAAAACAAGCCACGCAGTCTCTCGTTGACATGTAGTTCCTGCACTGACCCATTACGTAAACTGACTCTGAATTCCTTGTCTGCTCTGCGGTTGCAAAGTAGGTGTTATTGTTCGATAATTGTCTTCGGACATCTTGGAAAGTAGAGTTAAGATTGGCGTAGAAATTTGGGAGATTGGTTGCGTTGACTTGGCTGCAAGCTGTGATAAGTATGTTTGTTTGTGGTTGTGATGTCGCCGGAGTTGTGAGGAAGACCATGAACATAAAGGCAACCAACACCATCTGCCACCTATAGAACCACCACCTAGTCATGGCTTCTTCCTTGTTCTTGCCTCAAAGTGGATTTTAAATTCAGAATGCCTGTTTTTGATTTTTGGGGTACTAATTATATAAAGAAGCAGAACTTGACCAAAGTCACCAAACCATTAACGATATCCTTTTCTATAATAATAATAATAATAAGGAATAATATTATTGTGTGCCTATCTGTGTAAAGGTGTGACTAGCTATGTATGGGATATTTATTTATAACCAATTTGTAATGAGAAAATATTTATAGAGTAAATTTCAAAGTTGGTCTATGTTATATCCCAAAAAGTTAAGGCTGAGTCTATTTATTGTCATTCGCATGGCCCGTCCATAATTGAAACTTTTATGCAGATTTGATCCCTGAAGTTGACTGTCGTTTAAAAAAATGACTCACGCTGCACTTTTTGGGACACCATTGGGACCAAATCGGCATGGAAGTTTTGATATTGGACTGACCTTGTAAATGAAAAAAAAAATTGACTCAAACTGCATTTTTTCGGGATACCATAAGGTTCAATTTTGCAATTTACACTATATTATATCTCTTATATTCCAGAAGGGTTGAATATGTAAGTAGGGAAGTATGGCTTTTATAACCTTTAATATCACATTTCCTCCCTTAAACTGAACCAAGCCCGGTATTTGTTACGCCAAACATGTTTCGCATTTCACCATAATTCATTTATGACAAAGCCTTTCTAAAGATGTATGCTCATTGATCCTTTGAACCAACATATTTTACTAAATTTTTTCTACTCTCAACACACTCTCGTATAAATTGAAAACATATGTCAATGTGCTTTTTTCGAACATGAAACACATGACTTTTCATTAAAGAAATTTTCTACTTATTATCGACATACAAACTGATTGATGTGATATTATGTACCATAAGCTCCTTTACATGACTACAAATACAAATGGCTTGACATGCCGCCTTGGTGGCTACCATGAACTCGACTACACACACGGACAAAGCCATGGTATTTTGCTTTTGAGATTGACAAGTTTTTTAGGAAATAACAAACGAATTAAGTGAAAACCTACTCGAAATATTCCAAAGAGCACACGGGTTTGAGCTCCTTTATAGGAAAACTCAGCCTCCATATGGATTTCCAAGGAAAATTCCCTACATGTGGTACAACAATACATAGTTTAAGTGAATCGAACTCTCAACCTCATGTCCCACATAGGTATAAAACCTGATGCATCAACCCAGCTAGAATGAATATCACTTGCTTTAAGATTGTCAAGTGACCACATTTATTTCAAGATAGAAAATCACATCACTTGTAATCTTGCTGCCAAGGATGACAGCTCCAAGATCATTATCGATAAACCCACCCAAGTCTTCAATTTTCTGACCCTTTTCAAAGTTGAGTCCATAGTTATTAACAGTTCCTTTAAAATACCAGAAAATATGATTTACTACTTGGAAATGCAGAATGGTCGGTTTCTCCATGAAGCCGTTTGCAATTACAATAAAAAATAACACATGTGGTCGTGTGGTCGAGTGTGAGTCAAGTACGTCAAACAAACCACTACTCGCCTATATTCGGTTGATCGACTATATTAGGATTTTCATTATTCTTGAATTTCAACATCGGTACAATTGGTTAGGTTTTTGGGTTGCAATCTAGCTACCTGAATTGCTCTCTGAAATCTTCTTTTCAATAATTTGTTTGTCACAAAAATATTTCCCACCTTTTTTGTAACACTTTAATTCCAAGGTAGCATGAAAGTTAAACCATGTCACCCATTATAGATTATTTTTTCTTTTGTTCCTTGAATTTGAAAATGTTTTTGGTTTTTGGCCCGATAATGAATAAGTGATCAACATAGACACTAACTATGATAAGTTTCATTCAGGTTCCTTTTTTAAACCATTGGTTCTTATGAACATTTTAAAAAATCGGGTCCTTGTAAGCTTTTATGGAAACAAACGTTCCAAAAACGAGGAGCTTTTCGTAGACTATAAAGCGCTTTGAATAGATTTAACACATTGTGCCTATGTACTCTTTCAACATATCTTTCCAAATAGCTGACATAGACGTCCTCATTAAGATCTTTATTGAGAAAAGATGATTTTACACGAAAGTGGTGGACAACCCACCAATATTGAGCTTATATGGCCAGAATAAGCCTCATAGTGTGAAGCCGAGCTACCATTGCAAAATAATAATAATAATAATAATAATAATAATAATAATAATAAATAAATAAATAAATAATAATAATCAAATTCAACTCCTTACCTTTGTAGAAACCATTTTGCTATGAGTCAAGCTTTATGTTTCAATCCTTTTCCAGAGTTTTATTTATTCATTTTAAAAACTCATTTCAATCTGATTTCTCTGTGACAAGGTGACAAATCGATAACTTTCCATATCTTCTTTTTTTTCTATTGCATTAAACTCTTTGTATATCCTCCCACCATGCTTTAGAGGCTACCACCTATTTAAAATTCAAGTTTTGATCCGTTACAATCATCACAATTATCCGGATACAAGGGACACGCTTTAAGCATTTTCATAGACATCGACTAGTAAATGAAACCCCTTAGGCATAACTTCTCTTGAGGGGAATTTCGTGTAGGTTGAGCTCGAAGAAAACATGGTTGAAATAGGAGTGTATGGGGTTGTTTCGAGCTAGAAAAATTCAGCATTGGGCTTTCCAGTTTCGACATGATCGATTATATGGTTGTTTGGTTATTCCAAATCAATTTCAAGGTTATTTTAGGATGCTTTGGTGTGTATTTGCGACAGTGGTTTAGTTATTAAGAAGGTTTTAGAATAAACATTATCTTCTTCCTTGCTTTTGTACCCATTACAATCTAATTTTTCATCAAAAACAATTACACGACTAACTCTTAGCTTCCGGTCTTATGGATCAAATAAACTGTTTCATTTTGATCCATCTTCCACACCAATATACACCATATTTTTTTTGCTTCAATCATCAAGCTTCCTTAATTAATCAAGCTTCTTTAATTAATCACCTACAATTTTATCAATAGCAACACAACCAAAAGAACTTTTAGATGTTCAAGTATAGGTTTTTGCCAAACCACACTTTTTAAGGTGTGATGTTGGTGAGTGCTTTTGTTGGTATCGATCGGTTGACAAGATAAACCATATTCTAGCAACTTCTCCATAAAACTCACCCATCAATCAAGGCTAAGTATATCACACCAAATAAAGCTATAACATAGACTACGCAAATGAAGGAGATCATCAAAGATCGCATTATGGTCACACATAAACCCACACAACATATACTCAGTAAATACCATATGGTTATTACACATTATTGATAGTAGATGTGGGTCAATTAGATTTGTCTAAATGCATTTATTTTAGTCGTTTTTATATTTCGATAACTTATATACACCATTGTATTCTAAATAATGCGTTTAATAAATTGCAAGGAAAAAACCTTGTTTTTTTTTGTCATATGCAGATGACATGCATATATGTGAATATTAAAAAAAAGTTGCTTTTTTCATTATTTTATAAAAAGTTTAAACGCTAGTTAAAAAAGGGTGTGTTTTAAAAAAAAAATGGTAGAAAAAAAAAATTCTCTTCTTATTGTTTTTAAGTTCTGCTTTTATCTCAACTCTATATAAATTTATAGAAAAGCTAAGGGAAAGGTTTAACATAAAAGATATATATATATATATATATATATATATATATATATATATATAGATATATATATATATATATATATTATATATATATATATATTGGTTTTGATATAATATATCTTTGATTGGTATGTGTACTATAACTACACTCTTATATAAATGAGAATAGATTTGGAGTATCTTGTAACAATCCAAAATCAACAATAAAAATTTTCATTTGAAGTTTATCAAACCATTCATCAATTGTTTCAAAAACTAACACCAGATCATAATATTCAAAATATCATAGTACAATTATTCAAATTGCAGAAATCATGTGGGGAGGATGCTGAGCCATCACGTTGGACATTTCCCTTTCGAACCAGAAGTACCTGAAACCATAACAAAAATTGTAAGCACAAACCTTAGTGAGTTCCCAAAGTATCACATACCAAATCAAACAATTGGGCTTAACCCTGGGGTTTAACCAACCCGGTATACATATATGGGCCTTGCCCTAGGGTATATTTCAACCCAATAACAAGTATGGGCCCCGCGTTGGGGCCTCGCCTGGGGTATGTTTCAACCCGAACATGTCATAGTGGGCCCCTCCTTGGGGTGTATTTCAACCCAACATGCCATAGTGGGCCCCTTCCTGGGGTGTATTTCAACCCGAACATGCAAACATATACAAGCCAAATAAAAATTATCATATACATAACACATTAATGAGCCGACATTCGTGCCTTCGACCAAGGGATACAGTGAGAAAACTCACCTCACTGACAGATGAGGAAACTAAAACAGTATGTTGCTCCGAAATCAACTCTACCAGTAACCTTGATGAATACAGTGACCAAATGTCATAATATAGATCAATAATACCCAAAGTGCCCCTAGGTTAAACCTTGGTCAAAACCAGATCAAAGTCAACTGACTCAACTAGGTCAACTCGATGAGTACGTTGGGCGTACCCAACACGTACGCGGGGCATACTCGAGCATTTAACCAAACAACAAAGTGATGACCACGTACAGTCAGCATACCATTTGGTACGAATGGCATACACGGCTGCCACCAACCGTACTCATTAAGTGCTTAATCCTTCAAGCACTTACATCCAAAATCCAAATCCAAACCCTAAAAGGTGTTCTTAACTATAAAGTTTTCAACTTTATGGTTTTGCATGGCTAATAAGTCCCTAACATCAAAAACCCTAGCTTATTGATCCATTCAGACAACCTACAACATGCATAGGAAAAAGATAGAATCCAAGGTCATATTTTTATGACTTAACACACCCAATAACATCTGAAAGGACAGCTCAAACGTCTTGGAGTACTCAACACTCATAAGGATCAAGATCTGGGACAAAAAGGTGTCAACTTTAAGCTAAAACGAGATCTAAATGAAATACTGATGAAGGTTGGAGCTTTATACCTCCAAAAGGTGCACAAAGGAGTGTAGATGTTGGATCCACAACCTTGAGGAAAACT